GTGCCCCAGATCTCTCGTACTGTGCGACCTTCGTGGGGCAGTAGCAGTGCAGGCGCTCGTGACCTGGAAGTCCACGGCATGACCTTGAGTGATCTTACAGCCTGTGCAGCCTCGGGTTTCCCGGGTGTCACGCGGAATAGGCTCCACCTGGCCTCCCTCCCCAGGGGTCAGATGGGGTGTGCCTTTGCAAAGCCTTCCAACGGGGTGGCCTCAGTCGCTGTCCCCCCCAGGCTGACCGGGAGTCGGGGCGCCAGGGAAGAGCCCGAAGTCAGGAATACGGAGAAGGGCTGGTTCTGGTCCCTGTCCCATCCTGTCGCCATCCCGGGCAGCTTTCCTTGCCCTCCCTGGACCACGCTGTCCGTTCACAGCTGTTCAGTTAAAACAGACAGCTTCTAGATTTTTACATTTGTTTTTATGGAGATACCATTCACATACCGTAAAATTCACCTTTTTAAAATGTACAAAGCAAGGGTTTTTAGTGTGTTCCCAAAGTTGGGTATCCACCATCTAATTTCAAAACATTTTTATCAGTCCAGAAAGAAACTTCACACCAGTTGAGTTATTTCCTATCTCCCCCCTTCTGCCAGGCCTTGGCAGCCACTAGTCTGCGCGCTCTCTCTCTCTCTCTGGATTCTCTTGTACTGGATGTTTCCTGTAACCGGAATCATACAACATGCCGCCTTTGTGTTGGGCTTCTTTCCTTCAGCCTAAGGTTTGGCCCGTGTTCGTGGGTGAGGTGGAATGCATCAGGACCTCAGCAGCTTTCATGACTAAATGATGTTCAGTTCTGTGTGCCCCGCATCTGCTCACCCGTCGTCCGTCGGCGGGGACCCTCCTTCTGGCTGTCGTGAATAGTGGTGCGGTGAGCGTTCCCGGGCGGGTTTCTGTTCTCTGGGGTGCGCACCCACTGGTGGGGTTGCTGGGTCACGTGGCAACTCTGTGTTTAACTTCTGAGGAACCACAGACCGTTCTCCATCCCTCCAGGGGTGCGTGAAGATTCCCATTTCTCCACACTCTCACCGAGACTTGCCCGTCTTTTTTATAATGGCCATCCTAGTGGACGTGAAGTAATATCTCATTGTGGGAAATAACATGTTACGTAGATTTTTAACCCACGAAACCTTCGTAAAAAGTGGTCTTCCTTCCGACAGTCCATATGTGGATCCCACGCAAGAGGGGCCTCCTGGGGTGTGCCGGGGAGGAGGCCGGGCTCGCCCCGCAGCAGCCCCAGAGGCTCGTTCTCTGGGGGCATCCAGACCGCTGCGCCCCGCACCCTCCAAGCCCTGGAATGCGAGTCTCACTGCCAGTCTCAGCCTGGTTGCCGGGGACGCCAGACAGCCTTGGCCCCGCTGTGGGCCTGCCCTGCCATTGTGCAGGGGTTGCCACGGTGAGGTGGAGGGGTGCAGGGGTTCCCATCTGTGGTTCCAGCTCCGGGGGACGCTCGGGCAGGAGACTCGAAGCAAGCTGGAGAAATGCCACCCCCGCCTCCCTTCCCAAGGCCAGGAAGACCGGTCTCAGGTCTCCCTGACAGGGCAGAGGAATGTGGTGGCTGATGGGGTCTCTGAGCCAGTGGGAGGTTTACTGAGGTCAGCCCTGAGTGACCACCGCAGCGCTAGTCCTGTGAGAGCCAGAGTGAGGCAGCCGGGAGGCTCCCGGGCCGGTCCTTCACTCCCGGGCCGGTCCTTCATCTCCCGCTTCTCTCTGCATTAGAATTCTGGAGCGCCCTCCCGGCCGGGCACTCTGCTGTTTGATGGGTGGGATGTTCTGCGTTCCGTGTTGCCTTGGCAGCGAGACGGATCCCCCATCCCTGCCCCCCAGGTTCTGTTCTGTTGGTTGTGATGCTCTGCTTTCCACAGCCACGGAGGCTCGAGTCCTAGACATTGATTGTTCCGTTCCCTGGACTGGGTTTTAGGGCAGCTTGCTTCTTCTGTTGACAGCTAGTGTTTTGGAAAAAAGACAACTTATAGTATACACAGGGACTTTCACTTAGCTGGCATATTAGATCAACTCCAGGACCTGGTTTCTCCCCCGTGACTTGCTGATTCAGTAAAATGCTAGTGTCTCTTTGAAGAATGCAGCTTCCCAGGTTTGCGCAGCTGTGGAACCGGGAACCCAGGAGTCCTTGTCGTCGAAGGGGAAGAAAGCGTCCCCAGAGGTCCCTCACTTCATTCATAGGCCTGGAATCCTGTAACTCTAGAATCAGCGTGTTGGATCCAGAAACGTCTTAGAGACCATCTGATCCCACCCAGCCGGCCTTTCAGACCTGCCTGTGTGAACCATTGTGTTACCTTCAGCTGCGTGTTGACTGTGCTTATTATTATGAAATTCCCCGGAGGGAGGTGTTCCAGCCGAGCATGGTTTGCTAAGGGGCCCAGACTGGAAGTTCCGGGAGAGGCCCCGGCGGGTGGCGTGAGCTTGAGGACGGGGCAGGGACGGAGCTGCTGGGTGGGCAGACGGCCCAGGCAGAGATGTGGGTGCAGAGGACAGGGCTCCCCGGGGGGTCAGCAGGCAGCAAGCGCGGGTTGGAAAGGGTGCAGAGGAGAGGGCCCTGAGCGCCAGGATCAAGAGTTTGCCCTGATCTTACCTAACCGGGGGCCTCCGACGAACTTGGAGGAAGTTTCAAGCCCTCTTCTCCACTGCTCCCGCTGGTGCCCTGGCATGGGCCCGTCTGGTTTCTCACCTGGGAGCTTCGGATAACCTCCCGACTCCTCTCCCTGCTTCTGTTTTGTCCCTTCCCAGCCCTACTCCACACAGGCCCCCTACCCAGGGGCTTTCTAAAATGCAAATCTGATTGCGTTTCCCCATCTTTTAAGGGCTTCCATGACACCCTGTGGCCTACAGGACAAGGTCCTGGCTTATGTCGCTCTGTGCGGTTGGGCCTCACCATCCACCGGCTCGCCCCACGCTGTGACTCTGCCCTCAGCAGGCCTCCTCGTTTCCTGAGCCGTTCTGCTGTTGAGTCACAGCCTGTGCCCAGGCTTCCTTCTTGCTACTCACTGTCTCTGCCTGGCGAACTCCTATTCACCCTTCAACACCCCGTGTAAATTTCTGTTAGAAGGTTTCCCTGACCCTCCTGAGGCTACCCCTGTGCCTTGAATGCATTTCTGTTTTGAAGTTCGCATTACGTTGCGGTGAGGCCCTTCCAGAACACTGGCAGTCGCTGTTTCTGAGTGGTGGTTGTGCGACGGGCACTGGGTGAGCCCCGTGCGTGCGTTATCCAGTGTTGTCCTCACAGGGACGTGCGAGGTGCACTCCGGCGTGGCCCCACACACAGATGGGGAAGCTCACACCCAGAGAGGGGGCGTGACGGGCCCGAGCCATGCAGCCGGGGGGCGGCAGAGCTGGGGTTTGAACCCACATCTGTCAGGCTCTATTTCTGCGTCTTCCCTCCGCTGTTTCCTGGATCCTGCGGTGTCCCCCGCACCCCTGTGTAGGTCCTCAGGACGTGCTGGGCGTGTGAGGGGCCGATCAGAGAGGTGACATAGCAGGGTGGCCATGGGGAGACGGAGGGAGCTGGACTGAGAAGGGGCCGGCCAGACTCTGGGGTTGAGGGGACAGGAGACTACAAGCCCAGCCCCTCATAGCTCTGGGTTTGCTTTCCACCCTCTGTTCCAAGTGGCAGCTTCTGGCCACCTGGGGACTGGCCTGTGGGACTCCGGGCCGAGCAGGCAGCACAGTGACAAATGCCATAGCAACCTGCCTCCTCTCTGGGGCCTACGGGGGGAGGAGGAACTGAGAGCACAGCCCCACACTGAGACTTCTGAGCTGGATCCTAGAGGGGTGGCTCCTGGTGAGCCTGGGTGACTTCTGCCTTCCCATGAGGGACCCCTGCCTACGAGGTCTGATCCCTGCAGGGGAAATGCCACTTCCACCTCCGTCCTGAATGAATGGCTGGCTCTTGCCTCCCAGGAGACTGTAGGCTCCATCCAGATACAAACGCAGTCCCCTTCCCACCCCCGGCCACAGAGGAAGGAAGAGGGAGCTCAAGAGGAGGAGGCATAGGGTTGCCGAGCAAGGTAGGAGCAGAGACAGCTGGGACAAAGCCCTCATTGTACCCCGGCCACACGCAGCTCCAGGGCACACCGGGCGTCTTGCCTGCCTAGGCCTAGACTGCCACCTGGCCTTTCCAGGCTAAGCCACTTAGCAGCCCTCATCCAAGCTGGCCTGGAAGCGGGAGGCTTGTCCTCAGATCCAAGCCTGCCTCTGCTGGGAAGTCCTCCCGAAGGCACAGTCTCCTCTGTGCATCCTGTCGAAAGCCAGAGGGAGGGTGTGATGCTGGGAAAGTGCCATGGAAGCCAAGCTGGGCGGGGCTAGAAACCAAGGGCTGTCGGACCTGCAGCCGCATGACCTTGGCGGAAATGCGATAACAAATCCTGACCGCCTTGAAGGATTGCTCTTTGAAGAAGTGGACCGGGGCTCAGAAAAGCACCCAGCATGGTCACCTGGCCACAAAGGGTTTAGTCCGTGTGCTCAGGGGCAGGTGGCAGTCAGCCCCTGGTAGCCTTCTTGACAAGTGTGGGGGCACTGTTGTCACCCCAGCCCCTGTCCCGTGGCTCCTCCTCCAGGTGCCGGCCCTGCAGTTCCCAGAGGCCCTGCCTGGGGGATTGGGGCGTGATGGGTGGGACGTGTTGCCAACCAGGGGCGAGGAGCTCAGGTGACAGGCATGGTGTCGGAGGCTCCTGCGCCAGCATCCGACACCTCTGCACAGACAATGCTGGCTGTGTCCAGGCCCTCCTGGGGAACAGGCTGCCTCTGTGTCACAGCCAGGAAACAGGCCACCTGAGTAGTGCCTTTGTCTGCTCAGGAGGCAGCTCGCCACTGGCGGGGATGACCAGGCCCCCCACCCCAGGAGGCCCTGACGTGGGAAGGGCGGTGCCCTTGGCCGGGGACTCCAGGGTTTGAGGTCCAGCCCCCCACCATCAAGAGGGTGTGACTTGAGCAAGTCCCTTCGGTCTTGGACTCCTCACCTGTAAGGCACTAATCACAGCACTTCCTCATAGGGCTGTTGAGAGGAGTCCATGGCGTGATGTACGTAACGTGCTTGGCCTGGGGCCTGACGGCCAGCGGGGCTTGGTGGACGCTTGTTTCCCAGCATGGGGGAAGGTGCGAGGTGCTGTGTCCTCAGCCGAGTCTCCTGTGGGCCAGGCTACCGTCCGTAGTCCCAGGCTACCGTCCGTAGTGACCTGGAAGAAGAGAACGGGGGTCTGCATGTGGGCTGCAGAGAGCCCGGGCGCCCCCACCTGGGACTCCAGGCAGCTGCTGATGCCTGCCCAGCAGGGGGCGTCCCCCTCCTTAAACTCCCGTAGGGCTGCCCTTGGAGCCCAAGCCCCTTCCCAGGAGAGGGGCCCAGTGACTCCTCAGCAGGAGCCGGAGGGCCTGAGTCCCCCTACCGGCTTGTCAAGAGGACCACAGATGGGTCTCTGCAAACACGGTCCCTTCCCACCGGGCCCAGCCCAGCGAGACGGCCCCGTGGGAGGGCTCCTGCCCCTGCCCCCCCCCCCCGTCATCTGCTCTGAGCCTGTTCCCAGTGCCTGGTGCATGCCCCAGTCAGCATGGGCTTTCGCATGGATGGGTGCGGGCCGCGTGTGTGCAGCGCGTGTGCGGGAGGGCCCGGCTGCATGTCCTGCACTGTGCGTAGTCCCCTGAGCATGTCCCCTGAGGCCTGTGCAGCACGTCATGGAATGTCAGGGCTGTGGTGCCTTTTTGTGACTGTGCGTATCCATGTGTCTTTCTACACGTGTGCTGGTATGTTGGTCTGTCTTGTCTCCCCTGTAGACGGGAAGCCCGAGCCACATGCCAACGGGCACTCTGGGAAGGTGACGTCAAGACTAGCCCAGCATATCTGGGGTTCCTGGTCCTGCTCCAGGAGTCCTCCGACCTGCTGCCCCCACCGAGGAGGGAGGATTGACCAGCGCAGGGGTGGGGTCCGAGTGTCAGGGGTCCGGGGGCCTGGCTCGTAGCATAGAGGACACAGCGCTGCGCCGATGCCCGTGTGACCTTGGGCACGGCCTTCGGTCTCTGTGGGGCACGGCCACTCATCTGGAGGACACGGGGTTGGACTGGTGATTCCTGGCGGCCCCAAGGCTCTGCCAACAATTTTAAGTCGGGCGGCCAGAGCCAGCTGTGGCCAGAGCCCGGGTGTCCTGCTGAAGGGCGAGAGGAGACGCCATGCCAGGCAGCGGCCCCAGCGAGAGGATGACGTGGCCCGGCCCGGCCCTCCCCACGGCACCCCCAACGCGCCCTCTCTCCTCAGCCCCCGGGACTCCACCCATCCCGCCCCTCACCCGGACCCGCAGCCTCATGGCCATGTCCCTGTCGGGCAGTAGACGGGCCTCGGCTGGATCCCGCAGGTGAGTCTCCCCCTTGCCCGGAGCCTTGGCCTCAGAGGATGGGGGAGGGGCGGTGCCCACTCCACCACCGGCTTGCAGTGTGACTTTGGACAAGTCACTTCCCTAGTTTTCCTGTCTTTAAAATGGACTTGCTCACACTGGCCTCCTCCTGGAGCTATTAAGGGCTCAAATGACGCAGTGGATATAAAGTTCTATATAAAGTTCTCTGACAACATGAACCGTTGGGTTCCGGCCGACATCAGCACTGTGTGATCGTCACCGTTGCCGGGTGGCAGCGGGGCGGGCGCCGTGCGGCCTTCCACTCGGCTCGCCAGGCCCCCCTTCATTTCTGCCCCCGTGTGCTCCTCCTCCTGTCACTGCTCCTGCCTGCCCCATTCTTCTCCCCCTGGACTCAGCCCCTGCGGGGACCTCCTCTTCTGGGCTCCGAGGACCCTGGAAGCTGAGGCCTCTTTAAGGCCACATGGGGCCCCAGCCTTGGCCTCCACCCCGCCCAGCCTCCATTCTTGTCTTGGGGGGCCAGGAGGACCGGCCTCCTTCTGATTTTCCATCTCGATTTGCACTGTCTGTTCTGTGACCCCTGTCTGTGCACCCCCATTTCCCCTCTGCTTCTCTCTCGGCGGTGACCCCGAAGTCGGGGCCCTCTGGGCCGCAGCGGCCTGGCAGTGTTCGCCCACTGTCCGCAGCTGCCCACCGGCCAGAACGAGCACCTGCCTCTTCTTCCTGCCTCCAGGCGCACCTCTCCACCCGTGAGCGTGCGGGACGCCTACGGCGCCTCTTCTCTCAGCAGCAGCAGCAACTCGGGCTCCTGCAAGGGCAGTGACAGCAGCCCCACCCCCAGGTAACCGCCCGCCCTCTGGCCTGGCCCAGCCCGGCACCCCTGGGAGCCCTGGGGGAGGGGAAGAGTGGGTGTGCTAACCGTCCCCAACACTCATTGGCTTGCGACCTTAAGCGAGTCACTTCCTGTCTGTAAGGTGGGTGTGATACTGCCCAGCTACACTGCACATAAGTAGACCATGTATTGGACAAACTAGGAGTGATGCTTTCAGAACGAGCGGCCAGAGGCAGGCAGCTCTCCGAAGCGTCAGAAGCCCCGTCTCCTGCCTCCCCACTCCACTGTGCTGGGTGTAGAGCTCTGGTCCTTGGTGTCACCAGGTGGCTCCTACACCTCCAGGTGGATGTCCAGGAAGGACAGAGGATGTCCAGGAAGGCCAGAACCCCCACCCCCTACCCCCCACCCCCAGGGGCTCATGTTTTCTGACAAGGGACGCCTTCCCCAGAGAGTTCCGTGTGCACCGCACTGGCTGGAGCTGGGCGATGTGGCTGACAGGCAGCAGGACCGGGAGGAGGGAGAGTTAGTGGTCCCCCTGGTCCGAGGTGGGAGGGCAGCGTCTGCCCCTTCCTTTCCCCGGGGGCCACTCTACGGCTGAGAGAGGTGGAGTGGGTTTGGAAAGCAAAGCGTGTGACCAAGGCTACGCTGTGCTCCCAGCAAAGGCGAACAGAGACTCTCAAAGCAGGACTGGGTTGGGGAGGCAGGAGAGGGGAGCGGGGCCTCGAAGACCAGGACATTAGAGCCATAATGGTGCCAGAGCCCTGCTTCCCCAGCTCTGAAATGCTGGTGGAGGCACAAGAACTCGGGCTTGGGATTTGGTCGCCTCCCTCCTCCGTTCCATGACGTGGAAAATGGAGCTGGCCACCCGGAGGCTTCAGTGGGTTGCTGTCTCTCGGTGGCCCGTAGCAGGACTCCAGTCCTACTTGGGAGTCGTGGGCCAGAGCCGCGGGCTGCGGCCCCCGGGGCCAGACACCCCCGGGCAGGCTCCTCTTGCCCGTTCTAGTGGAGAGGGTGTCGTTTATGTGAAGCAGTGCCCAGCTCATGCTGAGGCAACAGTTCTCTGGTTTTTCCACCATGGCATGACTGGTGGGCAACACACGTGATGAGTGACACACGCATGCAGGCCTGACCCCCAGCACTCTGTCTGCAACCACGCCCCAAACCACGAGGCGTGAGTAAGATGGATGCACGTACTCACGTTTTAGAAAATACATGATTGGCAACTTTAAACTCTGGTTTCGGGGGAAGATTTTTGTGGTGCAGGTCATAACTGCAGCCCCTGGGGACAGTCCCTACCCCGGGGCTGACAGCTGCCTCGGTGGAAGGGTCTCCTTGCCCGGATGAGAGCCGCCGCCGCCGGGGGAGCAGGGGGCCAGGCATTCCAAGTCTTGAGTCGCTGAGAGACAGGAATTGTAGTTAATTTTTCTTCTTATCTATATATACATTTTTCCCACAAAGATAGAGCTAGTGACTAAAAATGTTAAATGTTATGTTGGGGGAAATACTCATGAGGGCGAGTGAAACAGTTAAAATAGTTACTTCCTCTCTGAGCCTCACCACTTCCTCGCTTAACTAACCCTGGTCCCTCCACCCAGGCGCACAGGCCTGGCGTGTGGGGCTTTGGGCCCTCGGGGTCCATGGTGCTTGCTGGCTGCCTTCTCTTTTGGAAAGAGGTTTCTGAGAGCCCCCCAGAGGGGTACCCCCCGAGCTCCCAGCCCACGCCATCCCTCTGCCCTCGGCCACCCAGAAAACAGGAGCGCTTGTGATCTGGCCGGAGGTAAATGTAAGGACCACTCGTTGAGTGCCGAAAATCGTTTCTTTCTCTCCACCTCGGTCTCTGCTTTCTTTTCAACAATTTATAGTGAACGAGTATGCTTTCCTTGGTAAACATTAGGCAGTCTCTACCAAGCTTTTAAAACTGCCTCCAGCTGCAGCCGATGGCCTTCACCAGGGCCTGCCTGTCTTTTCCAGGCCCATGATATGTCATTGCCCCTCCTTACACTTGGGAGGCCCCATCCCTAAAGAGCAGAGCTAGGTAGCAGCAAGTCTCCTGCCAAGCTGTGTGAGAACACGTCCAGGCTTTCAGGCCAAGATGCAAGGGGGTTCCTCTGTGGACAGAACAGCCAGCAGCTGGGAAGTCAAGGAGGCCGGGCCGTGGTCTGCTGGGGGAGTTGAGGTGCCCTTCTCCCCTGGGCGCAAGCCTCGGCCTCCCTCCTGCGCCGTACCGGTGGGACCAGAGTGTGCTCACTGCGCATGCGTATGCGCCGCCTCGAGCTAGGTTGCACGGGGCCACCAGGGCAGTGCTGCCACCTCAGGCTCAGGGTGCAGCGTGTCAGTGCCCAGAGCCAGCAGCATCCACACATGTGTTCATATGTGTGTTCACAGAGGGGCACGCACATTTCTATGGGTACACGCGTGGGCTGGTGCCTGCGAGGCGTCAGAGAGAGGGTGGGATGCGCATGCACGCACAGGTGTGTATATTCACGTCTGTGGATGTGCAGGCGCAAGCAGACGGGGAAGCCACGTACTCAAATGTGCACTCAAGTGAATGTGTGCGCGCAGATTAGGAGGAGGGAGGGTCCGTCCCAGCCTGGCCTCCAGCCCCAAACTCGTTCTCCGGGTTGGGAGGCTGGACGGATGGTGACGGTGCCAGGCTTGTGCGCGTGCTCTGCAGCACACCTCCCCCACCCCAAGGAGAGCAGTCGGGACTCCCCGCCCTGACGCTGTAGTCTTCACCCAGAAGAGCTTCGAAAAAGCCCACCTTCCAGAAGAGGGCTGGGTGTTCTCCTGCACCCCCGGGCCCAGTCGGGGAGGCTGACCTAGGACCCTCTGGTGGTGGTGGGACCAGGATGGCGAGTCTGGCCTCCTGCTGCTGCTCTTTTCTCCGTCCCTCCTGGTGACAAGCGTCCCCTTGCAGGCGCTCCTTGAAGTACATGCTGTGCAGCGACAACCATGGCATCAAGCCGCCCACCCCCGAGCAGTACCTGACCCCCCTGCAGCAGAAGGAGGTGTGCATCCGGCACCTGAAGGCCAGGCTGAAGGACACACAGGACCGGCTCCAGGACCGGTGAGCCGTGGCCAGGGCCAGCCCTCGGCAGCCCTGGGGCCATGCTCCGCACTGGGAGGAGCCAGGGCTCTGGGGCGCCTCTGGGAGGAAGGGGTGGCCGGAGCCCATGTCCACAGCACCTGCCTGTCCAGACCTCCCCGCAGCTGCTCTCCTAGACTAGGCAGCTACTTGGGGCCAGGGCAGGAGCACTGCCCCCTGTGAGGGCTTGTCAGACTTCCCCCAGGCCTGTCCTGGCTTTGTCCTGGCAGCCCCCTTCTGGCCCCTTCTTCTGCCTGGCTCCTCCCTACGTGGGGAGGTGGGGCACAGGGCTGTCTTCCTGGTTTCCCTTCTCTCTGGGGGGAGAAACAACCCACTGGGCTTGCTGGTCACCAGGGGACTCTCAACCTGGGCCCCAGAGGCCTTCCCCTCATCTGCTTATAGATGGTGCAGTCAGGAGAAACTTTGTGCTGAGGGCCAAGGCTTCCCTCCCAGCCTCTCCCTTCCAGGCTGGTGGCTTCATCCGCATGATGGCCCCTGCTGTCCTCATCTCCTTGACTCTCTTCTCCAGACTGTGTGGATTTTAACGTGCAGCAGAGCGAGAGCTGGTGAGGGCGCCATGCGAGGCACCACAGGTCAGGGCAGGCCACCTGACCACATGTCCCGTGGTCTTTCCTCTTTTTCTATACGACTTTATCAAGATGTAATTCGCATCCCACACCACGCGATTATTTTTACTGTGTTCACAGAACTCTGCACCCGTCACCCGTATCTGATTCCAGAACATCTTTTCATCCTAAAAAGAAACCCCACCCCCAGTGGCAACCATGCCCCTCTTCTCTGCAGTCACCCCAGTCCCTGGTAGCCGCGAATCTCGCTGTCCCTACAGCTTTGTCTGTCCTGGACACTGCAGATGAATGGAGGTGTCCAGCCCGCACGGCCACATCTCCTTGACCAGAGTGCAGCCGGTCCAGTTTGGCTTTGCTGCGGTTTGACCTGTGGGGGTTACAGGTGGCCCTCTGTGCGCCTCCCTGCCCGGATAGCTGGGACCGCATTTCCCTGGCCTTCTCGGAGGTGCCCCAGGTCTGCTCGGCTGCCGCACTCATGTCCTCAGGAAGGAGGCGGCCCATCTCACAGCTTCCCTTCTAGGCCTGGCCTTGCGGCCCAGAGCTGCCCTCTGCTGTGTGGTTAGGCAGGGTGCCACATGACGAAGGGCCTTGATCCCTGGCTGCTTCCCTGCCTGCCGCCCTGGCACGAACCTGCGGCATTTCCTCCCCTGCTTTATGGTCACACTCCTCGCTCTCTCCACATACGCAGTTGGCGCCGGCCGTTCCGGCGGCAGCCTACCTTCTCCTGGAAAACCTTTGTGCCTTTGGAAGCTGTGTCCCCACTTCCTGCAATGGCCTTTCTTGCTTCCTTGGCAAACGTTTCCTTTAGGATGCAGTTTGGAAATAATATTCTAGGCAAGGCTGGGTGGCCATAACTCCCAGGCGTCTTGCTGGCTCCAAGGAGAAGGAGCAGGGCCTGCAGATCTGAGCATGCGCAGGCCCTTCATCCAGACTCACTCTTCCTCCCTGGGCTCAGTGTCAGTGAGGAGGGTCAGCCTGCAGAGCCCCCTCCCTGAGACAGAAGGAGGGAAGGGCAAGTACCCCCATGCCTGTTGGCATAGCTGTTGTTGCCGGTCTGAGCCCTCTTGCTGCCATCACCGAGTTGTGTCCCTTAAGTGGTCTATCCCCTTTAGGGTGGTGGCCGCTGCAGCTCCGCAGCCCAGGCCCTTCATCAGACTGTGGTGTGAGGTTCCTGGGCCTGTCCCCTGAACTGAATTCCCAATCTCATGCTGGAAATACACGGTGCTTGATCTGGACCTCAGCTCCAACAGGCTCTCCTGACCCCAAAGGGGCGTTGGGCCCTTGGTGGGTTTCATGCACATGGGTGCGGGGAGCGCCTGCGCACGCGCCTCACCGAGAGGTGGGCCGAGCGGGCCGCCCAGGGCAGGATTTCCAATCTCCCTCCCTTCTCACTGCCTTCCGCCCACCTGGTTTTACCTCTGGACTTGAGGGCATCCTTGCCTACCTTGCCCCCACTGCCCTGTGCCCCCCAAATCATCCGAGACTTGGGGATTTGAAAGGCCCGTGAGTTTCGAGACAGGAGGAGTCTGCTGTCTGTCCGCTTTGCCTGGCACTGGCCTCCGCTCTCAGGAGTCGCTGTGTGCTTTTCTCACAGTGTTTAGTTTTGTTGGGTTTTGGGGTTTGCTTTGCTTTGCTTTCCTCTTTACAGTGGGCATGAAAAAGAAGTAAATGCCCACCTGGATAAAAGAACACCGCCCTGTCTTCACCGTTCTCCTCTGGTTCATCGCTTCTCCTCTCTCCACGTGAGGGAAGGCGGCACCTGCTCTCAGGAGAACCACAGTTGTCCCTGCCCCCTCCCCGGGGCCTCTGGCCAAATACCCCTGCATTTCAAATTTCCACAGCTGAGCTGGCTGTTATAAGAGGCCACGTCCCTTTCTACAGAGCAGAGCTTTTAGGGTTCATTTTGTTGTTTGATGTTAAGATTTTTAAGGGTGTTTTTGGCTTTTACAGTAGTAGCATTTTTAAATTGAGGTAATGGATTTAAATGTGGACAATCGGGGGCATTTCGAACTCTGGGCTGGGACTGCCCGGTGTGTCTTACCGCCATTCCTTCTCCTGCGCACCCAGGAGGAGGCCTCTCCGGTCTTCACCGCCTGACCCCGCCCCCACGTCCCCTCCCTGCCCCGCCCCCGGGAATAAAGACAGGAAGGGAGGGGCGTGGAGAAGTCCCTTCTGTTTTTAACTCCGTGGCAGCGCACAGGCCCTCGGAGCTTGGTGTCCGTCGCTCCGTGCCTGTCCTTGGTGGTGGTGCCAGGCGAGGCAGTGAGCCCGTGCGTCCCGTCTGCCCACAGGGACACGGAGATCGACGACCTGAAGACGCAGCTGTCACGCATGCAGGAGGACTGGATCGAGGAGGAGTGCCACCGAGTGGAAGCCCAGCTGGCCTTGAAGGAGGCCCGCAAGGAGATCAAGCAGCTCAAGCAGGTCATCGACACTGTCAAGAACAACCTGATTGACAAGGACAAGGGGCTGCAGAAGTACTTCGTGGACATCAACATCCAGAACAAGAAGCTGGAGACGCTGCTGCACAGCATGGAGGTGGCCCAGAACGGCGCGGCCAAGGAGGACGGCGCCGGGGAGTCGGCCGGCGGCTCCCCCGCCCGCTCCCTCACCCGCAGCTCCACCTACACCAAGCTCAGTGACCCGGCCGTCTGTGGGGACCGGCCCCCTGGGGACCACCCTGGCTCCTACACTGAGGACGGGCCCGACAGTGGCTTCGTGGCAAATGATGACACAATGAGCCGGACAGATGTGCTGGAGGCCAGCAGCCTGCTGTCGTCGGGGGTGGACTGCGGCCCCGAGGAGGCCTCCCCGAACAGCTCCTTCAGCATGGCTCCCCGGTTCCCGGCCGGCAGCGCCTACTCGAAGCTGCTCTGCGGCACGGAGGCCGGCGTACAGGCCAGCTGCATGCAGGAGCGCGCCATCCAGACAGACCTCGTGCAGTACCAGCCTGACCCAGACGCCATTCTGGAGAAGGTGGCCATGGCCCAGGTCTGCGGGGCGGGTCCCCAGTCAGGGGACAGGTGCCTGCAGCTGGATCCCCACCCCCCAGGGCCCAGAGACCCCAGCTCAGCAGTGGTGGTGACAGTGGGTGATGAGCTTGAGGTCCCAGAGCCTGTCACTCGTGGGCCGACCCCGCACCAGCCTGACGCCAATCCCAACCCCCACCTGTCAGTGAGTGTGGCGTGCCCCGTGGAAGAAGAGGAGGAGGCGGCTTCCGCCGAGAAGGAGCCCAAGAGCTACTGGAGCCGTCACTACATTGTGGATCTGCTGGCCGTGGTGGTGCCGGCCGTGCCCACGGTGGCCTGGCTCTGCCGCTCCCAGCGGCGCCAGGGCCAGCCCATTTACAACATCAGCTCCCTGCTGCGGGGCTGCTGCACCGTGGCCTTGCACTCCATCCGCAGGATCAGCTGCCGCTCGCTCGGCCCCAGTACGGCGGGCGGGGGCAGCTCCCAGCTCTGAGGAGGCCGGCCCAGCCAGTGGCTCCGTGGCCTGACCGCTGATCGTAGGGGTGCCGTCCTCCCTCTCACACATTCCCGTGGAGCACCATCTTATTTATTTAGTTTTTGTTTTGGAAGTGGTTCTTTCAGGATGTTAGCAGTGCTGGGAGCTGGGAGTCAGGGCGTTGGTGGAGGTCATCCCACAGCTTGGACAGGAGAGAAGGGAAGAGAGACCCAGGGCAGGGGGGCACGCCGTGGGACAGAGCGCAGGGGGGGACCAGTGAAGTCCTCAGCCCAGCCCCTTCCACTTGGCCCCTCGCAAGGGCGGCCGCTGCTCAGGAAGCCTCTGGCGTATTGATCTGGGGAGGCCGGGCCTCGGCTGCCCCACCTCTCCCCCTGCACGTCCTGCTCAGTCCCCTGATCACCCCACGCCACCCCTTGCCCTCGGCCCGGCTTCGGGGGCGGTGTTATTCCTTCGAAGAGGCAGCTGCAACCCAAAGTACAGGCACCTGACCCAGGACTCCAAGCAGGGTCTGGAACTGCCAGTCCTGGGCTGGAGCCCCGCCCTCCTCAGTCTGCCCACCCCCCTCGCGTGGAAAGCCAGTGATGGGCAAGAGGTGGCAGAGGGCAGTGTGGGCTCGGTGTCTGTCTGTCTGTCTGTCCTGGACCTTCCCCATGATCCATTTTCCCCTTGGCGCTCCCGGGTGTGTGTGACGACTCTTTTCGTGAACGCTAAGCCAGGCAGGCTCTGCCCTGGGCAGGAAGGCTTTCCTCCAGAGCATTTGCCAGCCAGCGCAGGAGAGGAGGTGGGGTTGGTAGCTCAGGGCTCGTCCTCCCGCCTGGCCTGTAGAGATGGGACTCTGTGGCCTGGGAGGCAGGGCTGGACTCATTGGTCCTCAGCTGGTGCAAAAAGCCAGAGGCCACGATGGCCCCCGGAGCTCACCCTGACTTTCTCTGGGGCCTCAGGCCCAATTTCTGCTTTGCACTATACTCACTTTGGGCTTGGTTCCCACGCATCCCCGGATCTCCTGCAAGGTGTCTGCTTACTTTCTAGGGTGAGGGTTCCTGATCTTAGACTTACCTGCCTCAGGGGACATTTCTGGCAGGATGAATGGCGAGATGGGTCTGGGTCGAAGCAGGTGCCCTGAGACCTGTCCCTGGTTGGGGGCAGGGGGCCTGGCTGGTGGGAGCCCTGCAGCCTCCTACTCCCAGCCAGAGCCCGGTAGGCCTGGGACGGTTCACTGTCCTCCCTCCTTCCCCGGGACACCCCCCCCCGGGCCCCCAGCCAAGCTGCTGACATTTTACTACCATTATTACAGAGCAAACCCAGTTGTTGCTCCCTGCAGGGTTTCCACCCATCTGGTTGTCCCATCCACTCTTCAGAGTCAGCCCCACATTTAGGGGGGTCGGTGGGACCCGGCGTCCTACCCACCGCTCGGGCCTCGGGGCCACTCTGGTTCTCTGCCAAGGTTGCTTGCCCAGCCCTGCTGCTCCAGCAGCCATTTCCTGACTCGTGGGCTCTGTCCGTCCTTCCTGTGCCCCCCACTCGAGGCAGGGCACCTGCATGCACCAGGAGTGGGCGGCCACCCAGCCATCGGGGCAGCAGCCCCTCTGCCACGCGCTTTGTGCCTCCGCAGCTCCCCCTCCTCAGCCGGGGCCTCAGACCAGCCATCCTCTGTGGAGCGCCCCCGCCCCAGCTGAACGAAGCCCAGCTCCTGGGGCCTGGCCAGGGCTGCCCCTAGGGCACTGGGGTTGTGGTGGAGGGGCAGCGGGCAAACCCACTCCAAAGCCAAGCCAGGACCGGCCGCGGCACCAGCATCCTGTGCCGTGTGCTCACGGAGCTGAGTAGTGTCTTCTTAGAAGTAGTCAAAGCTTTGCTGACAAAATAAATGTATGACTCTACTTGACAACATAAAATCTATTTTCACCGCCGGCATTTACTGGAGCTGCACAGGCCCTCTGCTCCCACCCGTGTCTTGCTGTCTGTGGCCTTCCTGTTGTGTCCTGTGTTCTGGTGGATGTGGTTGGGGCTGGGGCCACAGTCCACGCTGTCCCAGCTGCTGGAGAAGCCACTGGCAAAAGTCTGACCAGGGCTTGGACCCCAGGCCTCCCAGGGAGATGAGGGGCCAGCTGCCGTCCTGTCAGCCTGCTCCCGCCGGAGACCTGCCTGTCTGGGCCCTCGCCCACCGTACGGAGGGTCCTGTCTTTGGGGGAGGGGGAGTCTGGTGGGGCCTCCGACAGGCTTTTCTCCTTCCTGTTCGTGGAGGAGGCAGCTTACTGGCCAGCCCTGGAGCAGACCCTGGGACCCTGTTGGTCAGCGGCCCTGAGCGCTCCCGTGTGTATGTGTGTGTGTGTGTGTGTGTGCTCAGTGTCCGCATCTATGCAAAATGTGCAGCTCTAGGCAGTGGAGGGGCGGCGGCCTGTCCCCGACTGTGCAGGGCACAGAGTGTGGGGCTGGAGGGCAAGGCTGGGGCCGGGCTGTGGAGTGCTGGTCCTCCAGACGCCTGCTTAATACCTCCTCCTGTTGGCCTGTGACCCTCCCCTCCTGCCCTCAGCTCCTGGAGCAGAAATCTCTGGGGCCTCCACTTCCCCTATAGCCTTGACCAGAGCTGATTAGATCCTAAGGGACAGTGTTTCCAGGAGCCACTTTCTGGAACTGCTGGTCCCTTGGAGCCCAGCAGCCGGAAATGGCTTCTTAATCATGACGTCCAGGCCAGAGCGGCACCGCCGCCGCTTCTCTGGTCCGGGCTCAGGTGGGCGTCAAAGTCGAGGCTGGGACTCTGCACACAGAGCTGGCCTCGAGCGGAGTTCACTAACACCTTAGCTTTTCACTGTACGCCCTTCCCAATCCCCAGGTGCGCAGGGGGGTCTGACGGCGCCGTGGGGGTGGGTGGGCAAGTGACCAGGTTCTGGGGCAAAGGTCTACTGCGGGGCCTCTGCCCAGTGACCTCACGATCCCCTCTGTGACCCAGGGGCACAGTGCAAATGCATCCCAGGGCACTCTCACATTCCGCCACCCCCTCGGCAGAATTCGGGGGATCGGGAAGGGGGGAGGGACGGAGGGGTAGTCACTTTTGTCTCCTTTGTCCTTCTGTTCACACAGAGCTGTCCCTGCAGCAGACAGCTCTGAATTAAAGCATGAAAACACACGGGATCCTCGGCCTGCTTTCTTTACGTGGTCGTTCTCCTGAGGGGGCCGGGCTGCGAAGCCGGCTCACGCTGTCCCCACCTGCACCGGAGGCAGAACGTGCGATCTTTCCCCAGGTCAAGGGAACGGGAGAGCCGCCTGCTGGTTCAGCTCTGCGGTGCAGCTGCGGGGGCAGCTGGGCCACCCCTCCTCTCAGGCACCCCTGAAGTCGTTCTCACGCCCATTCTGCGTGTGCAGAAGCCGTCTGCAGCCAGGGAGCCGGTGCCCCTCCTCCAGAGCCCCACACTGGCCCCCCTCTCCACTACCCCCCATCAGAGGGGGGCAGCGTGTGCCAGGGTGTGCACGCACTCAGAGGCAGTTCGGAGGAAAGGCCTTAGTCTCACACTTGCCTGAAAGAAAACCAGCCCTGGCATGTCCCGGGACCGAAATTCTGGGATTTTCAATTACTTTTCAGGCAGGAATTTTATTAAAACCAAAGCTTTATTCAAAACACAGGAGTTACAACTATGTACAGTTTGTGACCAAGATCAAGTGAAGGAAAAAGAAAAAACTTGTGCAAAGAACGTGTTTCTGTTCTCAGTACGCAGGACTGTTTTTCTTGGAGAGGCAAAATGTTGAGAGGGACCAGGCTGCAACTGCGAGAAGCCCTTAGCCGGTCGGCCGGCCTGCCCGCCCCGAGTTTCAACCGGCTCGGAGGGCAGGCCGCCCGTGAGCGCTGCCCCTGCCTCAGTGCGGTCAGGAGTCTGAGGCTCCAAGGAGGCCTGCGTCAGCAATGACAGGTGACGTGATCCGCCGTCACCCCGCCTGGAACACACCCCCGTGGAGACACCCGTGCCCGAGGCGGCAGGTCCCAGAGGGCTCTCCCTTTCCCGCCGGAGGGTGGGGGAGCCGAGCTGCGCCTTCAGACATCGGGGACGGAGTGGTCCATGCCGTGGTGGAGCAAGGTCGGGGACAACCTACAAGCAGCAACAGCGACAGTGGCCAGAACGGCCAGTGCCTCCCCTCCTCCCTGCAGCCTGTGCACCCCACCTGGGCCTCCACTCTGATTTCTAAGACCTGCAGACCACCGGGAGCCACCAGGCACCGTGAGGGAGGCGGGGGGGGGGGGGGAGGGGGGGTGGGCGGCGCACTGGTGAGCCTGGAGGGGAGGGGGGGCAGCGGAGGGGGGGTGAGATGGGGAGGGAGAGGGGCCCGCCTTACTTTTTGACCATGTGCTCGTAGATCACAGTTGGGATGATGGTCAGGGTGACGACGTTCCCGGCCATGGCCAGGATCTCTGTGACCTTTTTGTCCTACAGAGGAGGCAAGCGAGCGGTCACCCTGGGGCCCAGACGGGTCAGTGTAGCACCTGCTAGAGTCAGGCACCACTGCCACCCGGCTGCACAGTCCGAGCCACCCCTCCGGTGAGGGCCCCAGGCAGACACACAGGGGAGGCTCTGCTGGAGCGAGACTGCGGCCCGTCCCCGAGGAGCCCCATGGCAGAACGAGCGTGCCACTCCCCACCTCCAGGGACAGTCCCAGGGGCCTGGCCCGTAACAGGGCCTTGCAAGCCTTACGGCCCTCCTTCCCTCCCCGACTTAGGCCCCAGAATCTCACCAGGCCCCATCTTCGATCCCATCTCCCTGGCCCCAGTCATACTGGGCTCCCGGCCCCAAAGCAGGAAGAGAACCACCAGGCAGTGGGGGACATCGGGGGCACCCTCCCCCCGCCCGGCCCCTGCCAGCCAGCCAGCCGGCCTGAGCTGAGCCCACAGGGGACGGACATCTCCCCCTTACATCATGTTCAGTGAAAAGAGAAAGGCCACAGAAGCCGCTGAGATTCCGGGGAGCACGGGAAACAAGAGTCTCCACGCAAAGTACGCCAAGCAGGCCGAACGTGACGCAATGGCAACAGCGATGGCCCTCACTCGGAGGCTGACGCCCTTGACCTTACTTGTTTCTCTAACTCGGTTTGTGTTTTCTTAGTTGTTCCAGGATAAATGGGAGAAGACGTGCCGGGTAGAACTAGTGATGGCCACAGAGTGAAAGTAGGTAAACTCTGAAAACATAATCTCAGGAAGCAGAGCCGTCTGGGGCCATTCAGAAAAGGGACCAGCCCCACCGTGAGAGCTTCCCAACAACTGTGGTTTGGCGGGGTAACCGGAAAGTCCATTCTGAAGCCTGGTGCGTACAATGGCTGCCCCTCAGCCGTTAGGGTCAATGAGCTGCAATGCTTTGAAAGGGTGCATTCACTACTACCTGAAAGAGTCGGCTGCTCAGAATCGTTATCAGTGTTCTCTGCATTTCAGTTTTAGTGGGTTCCCTTTGGATCGTCCTGCCTGACCCCTGACGGGGGAGATGCAAGAGCAGGGACCTTGGACAGACCTCAGGAAGAACTTCCTGAACCTCCAGAATAAGCCTCTGGGGAAGGTGGGAGTGACTGTCAGGCACAGGGAAGCAGCCATGTGACCGCAATGGCTTGGTGAGGGGTGGGAGGCTGGCCTGAAAGACCGTGGCAGCTGAGGAATGAACAGCACCACCCAGGCCACTTCCGGCAGGGGAACCCTGCCACGTGAGCCCAAAGCCCTGGCTGCGGGAGGCAGAGGGACCCTCCTCTAAATTACACCTGGGATGAGGACCACTCGGAGTCCAGGGCACATCAAGTCAGGATAAAATCACTTTCACTTGTCCAGAGCCCTAAAGGCATGTGACTGGTCATCATCCACTGTCCCTTGGCTGAAGGCACCTGCCTCTCAGTCCACACCCACAGCACCGACTCCAGACCACCGGCTCCTTCTTATGTTTCAGAGATAAAAGTCGCCACGCTCACCGGCCTCCAGAAATGAGCAGAGGTCGGTAATGGGTTTCCGAATACCAGCTTCTGAAATACGCCTGTCATGTGAACCAGGACGCAAACAGAAGCACCACACAAAGGAGGGAGGTGTTTGTGCAGCCAGTAGCCACCTGGTCACCTGGGTCCTTTCACGGGTCACCACATCTCCTCTTTCTGCCACATCACTGGCCTCCATGTGTTAATATCAACACTAATATTTATTCAGCACTGAACTACGTGCCCAAAGTTTTATGTACTTATTATCTTACTGAATCCTTGCAGCAACCTCAGGATGAAGAAGCTGAGGCTGGAAACTCGGATGGGAGCAGCAGCCTGCCCACAGCGTGGGCCCTCCCGCCGCCCAGCCGTCTCCCTGCCCCTGCAGTTCTGGGACGGAGCCGGCCGCTGGCTTACCTTCAGCCCGATGACATTCTGCCCATTCACTTCACACACATAGTGGTTGGTGAGGAGCCCGTTGCGGGCCGCAGAACTGCCTTTGACTATGGAGACCACCTTCCCCTTCTTGATGACGAAGCCCACGTGGCCAGTGCCATCCTTGTGCATGGTGACAGCCCGCTGGAATGGCCTGCCGGGAAGGGACAGTGGCTTGGACCTGGGATGTGGCTGGAGGCGAGCAGAGAGGCTCCTGCAATTGGCTACTCACCTGTCCCGAACGACCATGACAATCTTCTCCGCTGACGCCTTCTTCACTGCGCGGTGGGCCTTGTCTGCGCTCCACCCGGCACAGTCTCGCCCATCAATCTGCAGGATCTGGTCTCCAAAGCGCAGCCCCACGAGGGATGCGGGGGTGTTGGCCTGTACCAACTGCACAAAGAGCCCCTGGGAGAGGCAGGGCCCCAGTCAGCTCCCCTCGCCCGGAGTCCAGGTCGCTCCTCCCAGCTGGTGTTTTCCTCCTGGTTCTCCCGGGCCACCAGCAGGTGCGCTGGTTACCCCATCCTCCCGGGGAGGAAACACTCCAGGCCACACAGCTAGGGAGCAGCTGAGTCCGAAGTTCAACCCTGGCTGGAGGCTGCACCCACAACCACTAGACTGCACAGCCTCTCACAATGGCAGGAAGACCCTATAGACAGCCGGCTGGCCGCAGATCCCCGTGAACTGGGGGACAGTGGAATGGGAAGCCCCTGATAGGCTGGTGGCAGGTCTCTGCTGCAATCCAGCACCAGCCCGTGAGCCTTGGGGGTGGGGTTGAGAGGAGGAGCCTGGGCTGGAGGGTTAGGAGGCTTTGCTCCCAGCACTCTGCATCTTCCTCACTGTGGACGACCACTCCACCCCCACTCCACGCTGTCCTGTCCTCTCCGGGCTTGGGTGGCTCAGAATGCTTAGCGTGCTGTCCTGCCCGCCCATCGCCCTCCGAAGGGCCCCTCCCCTCCCTCCCGGCCCCCAGCCCCACCTTGTCGATGGCCCGCAGCCGCAAGCCGGTCTTGCCACGCTCATCCTTGCACAGATGGATCTCCCGCACCCCGGGCTTAATCTCCGCACGCCGCACGCCCAGGTTGTTCCCGGACACCGGCGCCACCACCTGGCCGGGCAAGGGGCCAGAGACCACAGTCTGCAGACACCAGGGAAGGAAAGGGTCAGCCAGCCCCCGGGGCCAAGGAAGGATGGGGAAAAGAGGATTCGATGGTCCCTGGGGCCCATCCCACCCGCAGTTCACACGCTTCTCCGCAGGAGCCGAGAAACATGACTCCATGAAGCCACTAGGGGGCACCAAAGTCTATACTCTTGAGAAACAGCCAGGCACTATACAGGAAAGAGGCCCTCGTTTTCCAAGGCTCATTGATAACAGGAAAAGACTCCTTCAAAATTCATGTAAAAACAAAAGAAACATTTCATAGCAATAGTGACCAATGGGAAAAAAGTGAGCTGGATTTGTTTTTTGTCTGAAAAAAATAAGCTATAAGTGTAAAAATGAATAAATGCTTTCCCCCTAAGATCCAGAACAAGGCAAAATGCCCAAGTGCACCACCACTATTAAGTACAGCACCAGAAGAACTAGCCAGGGCAATGAGGCAAGGAAGGAAAAGAAAGGAAAAGGAAAGAAAAGGCCTACAGATTGGAAAAGAAGAAATAAGATGGCCCCTATTTGCAGATGACATTATGCCCTACTAGAAAATGTCAAGGAATCTATGAGCAAACTCCTAGAACCATTAAGTGAATTCAGCGAGGCCACAGGGAGCAAGATCAACACACAAAAATCAAGTGTCCTTTAACATACTAACAATGAGCTTGTAGAGCGTATGCTGAAACTGACAAACACTGGTGAAAGATACCAAAAATGACAGGAATAAATGGAAAGACAGTCTGCATTTGCGGATTGAAAGAACAAAGTAAAGCTGTCAGATGTCCCCAAATTGATGATACAGATTGAATGCAATTTCTATCAAATTACCTATAAGATGTTTTCTAGGTACAGGCAAGGTTATTCTGGGCTATATGAAAAGACAGAGACTGTCTAAAACTATCCTGACAAGAAGGATAAAGTGGGAGACACACTCAGCCACATGCGAAGACTTACCCTACACCACAGTGATCAAGACAGCGAGATACCGGCGGAGGGAGGGTCGCATATGGAACAGAACAGAGAATCCAGAAAGAGCCTCACACGAGTGGGGCCAGCTGTGCGTTCGCAGAGAGACAAGAGGAGTTCGGTGGAGAAAGAGGAGCCTTTTTCCACAAACGGCGTGCCAGCAACTGAACATCCACAGGCAACAATATGAATCTTGATGTACACCTCACCCCTTATACAAAAATTAACCCAAATTCAATCATAAACTTAAATGCAAAGCACGAAACTATAACAGTTTTAGAAGGAAATCAAGGAAAAAGATCTTCAGGACCTAGAGCTTAGTGAAAATTTCTTAGGACAGGGAAGCATGACTCATAAAAGAAAAAATATCAATAAACTGGACCGCACCAAAATTAAAAACTTTTGCCCCGCGAGACTCTTTTAATAGGATGAAAGAAAAGCTACCTCTGGGAGAAAATATTTCAAGCCACATATCGTGAGGTTAAATGTAGCCACAAAGGATTCCAGAATAAAGAATTCTCAAAATTTGACTTTAAAAAAAGCATACAATTCATTTAGAAAATAAAAGAAACAAAGAACCATTTTACTGAAAAAATGTATACAGATGGCAAAGAAAATCAGGAAAAGATGTTCAAAATCACCAGCCACGAGGAAAAAGCAACTTAAGACCATGACGAGACATGACTTTGCCCACGATAGTGGCTAAAGCTAAGAACAGTGATCACAGCAAATCCTGGCGAGCACGTGAAGAAACTGGAGCTCTCGTGTGTTGCCGACAGGAAAAGAAAATGGCCAAGCCGCTCTAGAAATAGTATAGTTGTCTCTTTAAGAATTGAAACATACATTTATCATTCAACCTAGCAATTGCACGCCTGGGCATTTACCCCAGAAAAACGAAAATTTATGTTCATACAAAACCCTTCATTGGTAGTAGCCCCACACTGGACACAAAGGAAGTGTCCCTCCCCGGGTTAGACCAAGGGCGGTGCGTGCGCACCGCGGCCCCGCTCAGCAGAAAAGGGCTGTGCTGCTGCTGCGCATCACCACCAGGAGGGGGCTCCAGGGAGCTGCGCTGAGTGAAAAAAGCTTGTCGGAGAAGGCCCCGCCCTACAGGACTCCACTTAGGCGAGGTTCTGAGAGGACAAAGGTCGAAGGACAAGAAGCAGAGGAGTAGCTGCCCGGGGTTGGGGATGGTGGGGGCCTGAGCAAGACGGGCAGCGTGTGGGCGGCCTTCGGGTGAGGAGCTATGCTGATTGTGCGTGGGTCGCCTGACCCCGTGAAGGAGGTAAAACGACAGAGAACTCTGACATGCGTGCACGCTTGCACACATGCACGCACGCCACACCCGTCGCGGTGGCTGCTCCCATAGCGCCCTCTGGTTACGGAGAGTGCAGCCCTCGGGGAGATGGGCAAAGGGCACCGTCCGGGGTGCTTTTCTCAGTGCCCTGTGACTTCCTGAGAATCAATGATCATTTAAAAGCAAAAGGCTGAAAACAAAACCAAATCTTTTAAATATTATAAAATGCATTCAACTGTCATATTTTTATCATAACTTAGGTTATGTGCATTTATATCCTAATTATTGGAACAGAGAGGGTTAAACCAATGAGGTAAAGTTGAACTACAGACACATGACCTTGCTTTGTGTTTGCATTTCACAGCATGACTATCAAGGGGTCAGTCAGAGGAACACTCCAGGGGGTCCTCCTCAGGGCCCCACAGGTCCTCATCCTTGTCATGTTCGCCTGTGAAATCCTCATTTGTCCAAGGCTTTGTGTGTGGCTGTGGCATTTCTCACTCCCCTTCCACCACCTCGTGAAATCCTCCAGACTGGGCAAGACTCGCCCTTGCACTTTGCCATTGGTTTTCAGGGGCTCAGGGTGAGTTTGGCAGACAAGGGTGTGACAAGTGGCCTCGGGATTCCGGAGCTAACTGGGAGGGGCCTGCATGGGGACTGAGTCCGTAAGTGCACCCGGTTCTAAAGTGTTTCTGTGTCAGGGTTTTTTTTTGCTCCCTGAGCCACAGAAAGCAGGAACCAAGTGGTATTGTTTAATGTGTGGGCCAGGGCTAGGTGCCAGCTCCTCCCCCGCACCTCTGCCCGTCCGTGCAGCCACGCCCAAGTCACAGGCAGCCCTTCAGGAGAAGCCCCCAGACTCAGGCCGGGTTGAATATCCTTCTCATTCAGCAGCCAGAAGCCAGCAGTCAAAGGGCAGACAGCGGCCCTCCACTCCCAGGGCCCACTGGACACCATGAAATTCCACAGCACTTAAAACAAAGGCTAAAAGTGAAATGTGCCACCAACAAACAGAGCCGCAAGACCAAGAAAGAAGGAGAGTTGGAAGACCTTTGCCCACTTCCGGCATGAGACAGGTACCTACACTGGCAGCATCTGGAATCTGAGGCAGGTTCTCTTGGACTTCTTGGCTGGAGAGGGAAAGACCCATATAATTTTCCAGTTCTGCCAGGTTGGGGTACAAAACTGATGGGAAGGGAAGAAGGAAGAAGAAAGGTGTTACTCGAGTGCAGAGCTTAGCCACACCTGCCTGACTTCAACACAGTCGCTCAGTTTTGAGAAACAGGGTCTGGGAATGTTGTAGGTTCCCGGGGAAAGCCGTGTATCCATGGGAACGCTGTGCGTCCCCAGAGTGCGGCCACTGCGGCAGAGGAAGCAGGGCCACGCACTGGTGATGTGGCCCTCTCCTCAGAAGGTCTGAAGGGCAGCCGTCCGCCTTCCCCAGGAACAGCCTGGGACACCGAGTCCCTCGTGTTCCGCTTTGGTGTTTAGCTCAACTGGCTTTGCTTGGCACCAGTCAGCCAACACAAAGTACAGGGCTGGCGTTGTGGCCATGAGGCCCTGCTCTTAAGAAATCCACAGCCAAAGGGAGGCAGGCGTGTGTCCAAGGGCGTCTCTGAGGCCCGTGTGTCCAGGGAGGAGGGGGAGAGTTGGGCCTGAGTTCAAGTTCACTGCAACAAAACCTGAATCAAGACAGCCATGAACAGATCTGGGGGCCGTCACAAACATCCTGGTCCCCTCATGCAGCACCAGAGGAGATGGCCCCAGATCAGGAAAGCGCGTGCCCTCCCTAAGCCACAGTTGTCTTCGTGTCCATCTTGGGGAAGGGGAGCCCTGCCTAGAGGGCACAGCACAGTGGCAGGCAAGAGCCGGAAATAGCCGGAAGGGGTCACTCTTGGTCAGGACCACCCCCATCCCGCTCACTCACCTGAAGGCTGGGGGGAAGCTGTCTCCTGCGCGGGCAAGGTGGGCATCTTGGGTGTGTCTCTGGCCTGGGCCTGGGGAGAGGTTGGGGGGAGCTGCTCAGCTGTGTCTGGGCCCCACTCCCTAAACCCTTGAACGTGGGAGTCAGGGCACTGTGTGTTCTGGCAAGCCTCAGGGGGGTGTCCATGGAGCTCAGGTCATGTGTAAATCTGGTCTCTGGACATGTCCACGCTTCCCGGGCAAGTTCATGGTCATTCTCCATGAGCCACCAAATGTCATGACCCATTTGCTCCCTGAGGCAGCTGAAATTTAAGGCCCAAGTCCCAACCAAGTTCCTAGTCAAAAAGTTCCGAAGTCTCAAAATCCACTGCGCCCACGGGTGGGATGGAAAGAAGGGGGGGGGGGCTGTGCAGGCCAAACACCTGCCCGGCAGTGCGGGGCTCGAACCCGGGTGGAGGAAGCACCGGGACAGAGAGGGCACGAGAGAGGCCGGTCAGAGGCTGTTTGGTCTTTGCTGTTTGTGCTATGACTCCATTGCCCTGACCTCGGGGCACTGGTCCCACCCAGCAGACCCTTCAGTGGTGACCCGCATGCCTGGGGCCCCCACCACCCATCCACTTCCAAGACAGGTTTCCCTTAGTTACCCCGGGGTATCCCGAAGGCTCCACCAGGGGGCCCAGCCGAACCCGGCCCGGCGGCTCACCCGAATGGCTTGGTCCACCTTCAGGTCCTCCAGGGATGGATACAGGGTGGACATGGCTGCTCCCGGAAACACCCTGCGGCGCACAGCGGGGAAGGAGGGATGAGAGGAGGCACGGATGCCCACCCCCATCCGCCTGCCACTCAGCACTCTCAGGATGAGAAAGGTATCAGCAAGGCATAATTACTTCTCATTTTGGAAATGGGGGAGCCGGGGTTTGCACCCAAGTCTCTTTGGTTCCCAGGCTCATGGTCCCCACCCTTGCAGAATTCTACCTCACCACATTGAATTGATTCTGGGCTTTCGAACCTGGCCCCAGGGAAGCACTCAGGACATGCTGGTCAGGAACAGCAGCAGTAAGGACCGTGTCCCTGCCTGCCCTGTTTCAAAGATCAGACATGCTTATGAGACCTAAATTCACCCAGCAGGTGCATGGTGCGTACCTGCTGCATACCAGCCTATGTTACAGGTTTGCAAAGCATTGTCCGACAACCACACAGAATTCAGTCCAGTGTCAAGTGGGTGGGGGCTTAGTGTGACGACAGAAAGGCAGCAGGCCCTTTAGAATTCCTTCCCACTCCCCGCACCCCTTGTCACCTCTGGGCATTAGAGTTCCTGCTGTGTAACGCCCATTCCCAGCCTTGATCTTGGCCGCAGAGAAGCAAGACCAATAGAAACCCTTGAAAACAGGCATACAAACTGTTGCAACCTTGTCAAACTCAAAAGAGCTTTGTTCCTAAGGGTGGAGGGAATGCGGATGTCGGGGAGCACCGTGAACATTTACTAAATACCTTCCAACTGTCCCAGAGGAGAATTGGTAGGACCTTGCAGCACGGTACCCCCAGACACTCAAAGGAATTACGGGTGGTGCTTTATCTCGTTCCTCAATGAAATGTGAGGAAAGGGACACTTTCATATCCTTGAATAAGTCAGGTTTTTTCACGTCTCGAGGTCTTTGCCTGTGTTATTGCCTCTCTCTGAACACTCCTCCGCTTCCTGCCACCTACCTAACCCATCATTCCCGTCCCGCATCAGAGCGCTCTTCTTTCAGGAAGCCTGCCTCGGTTTTCCCCCAGCCCCACCCCATGTCCTCACTATTCTTGTAGTTGCCTCTTGTCCATCTACCTTGTTTGACTGGGAGCTCCAAAAGGGCAGGAACCGGGGCCTTCTCGTTTGCTACAGAAACCTCAGCCCCAGCATGGACACTAATTCAATAATATTGCCAGAAGCAGTAAATTCCGCTGGGCTCTCACTTTTTTCCTTCGAGGCAAAGCTCTGATGTCCTCAGGACACCTACCCTCCTAGGATGGAAACAAGGCCCTGAGCTCTCAAATGTGTTCTGTGAGCCCCTCACAGTCTTTTTTTTTTTTTAATTCTCACCCAAGGATTAATTTACTGGTTTTAGAGAGAGAAGAAAGGAGAGCACGAGAGAGAGAAACATTGATTGGTTGCCTTCCTTACCTGCCCCAACCAGGGATCGAACCCTCAACCGAGGTATGTGCCCTGACTGGGGATCAAACCCACAACCTTTTGGTGTATGGGACAACACTCCTACCAACCGAACCAGCCAGCCAGGGCTCACAGTCTTGCTATTTGTTTTTTATTTGAATTAGTGCCAACATTTTAAAATACAGAAACATAAAATTCTTCACTTCTAATTGTATTGATAAACAAAAATATGTGGCAATGCAAGAGCAGCTATTATGCAGACAACACCGAGCCAGGGCTGAGCTGCAGCCTACCTCCCAGATGGAGCCGCAGGGCTTTCCCCGAGCACCCACCCAGCAGATCTGCACGGCCAGCTTGGCTCCTGGAGGCAGGGAGTTCCAGATCCTTGCCCTACCCTGGCCTTCGGGGCGGAAGTGATCCTCTCATGAGGTCAGCGATTGACCTCGGAGGAGAGGGAGACTGACTCTGACCTCTTTTAGCCCAGCCGGGGCCTCCACCACTGTGCACATACTCTGGGCACATGCTTGAGACAGTCCTCAGCAGGTGCCATCTGCCAAAGCATGCCCTGCCACCCGGATCATGCATGACGGGCAGATGTGAAAGTAAGAGGCCACCCCTGACCTGTTTTTTTCCAACGCTGAAGCCACAGAGCGGTCATATTTTTAGCAGCTGCCCTCTGGGAGAGCAGAATCAAAGATCTACCTCCTGGAAATCACTCCCAGGTCGGGACCATGCAACCCTTTCTCTGCTTCTGTGACACTTTCACGACGGCCACCTGCTCTGGGCCCCAACAACTCCCTGCCCGCAAACATGCTCTGTGTCTCACCCGATCATCCATCCATTCACTCGCATTTGCATGTCCACTGTGTGCCAGGGACCCCGGACCTGTTCCAATCGTGCCGATCCCTCCGCCTGGCACACCGCCTTTCTCCACCTAGCGCTCTTTCAAGGCTCAGCCCCAATGCTACTTCTCTGCTGGTTTTCCAGGTCATGGGATCCTCTGCTAGTGGACTGGGGCTTCCTTTGTTCCTAACCCTGACTCGTACTGCCTGTATTGTCAAGCCATTCATCACAGTATACGATTAATATCTGGGTATTTTCTCCTAACAGAGCCAGCCTCAGAAGGGCAGGGTCTTTGTCCTCTTCACCACACTAGGCCTCCCCACCCAAAGTGCCAGCATGTACAGGAAATGTGGACAAAAGTTACTTGACTGGATACATCAGTGGTTTTCCAAAGATCAGAGTGGAGATTTGTGCGGGCACTACTGGGGGTCACGACACTGAGGGGACACTACTGGCCTGTGGGAAGCAGGGAGCACAGATCTGGGCCGCTTGTCATGCACAGAATAATTCACCACAAATCATCCTCGGTCCTGCACGGCTTCCCAACATCCTGCAAACCTTCAGGTGGGCACACACCTGTTGGACATACAAATGCAACTTTTCCTTGGTTTTAACGTAGAATATATACCATCCAGAAATGCATATGCCAGGTTAACGAGGGAAGTTTTGTTTTGTTCTGTTCACTGTTTTGGAAAGTCACGGTTGATCCTTCTCACCACGGGTTAGTCACCAGAACACACCCATCTGTATGTGTCTGCAGTTATAGCTGTGATTGCTTGCTTTTATACAAATACAGTTAGCCTTCGACTTAATATGTCAAATACAAACTGTTGGAAAGATTCATTTGAATATTATGGTTTATTAAATCCAAATGTAATCAGTTTAAGTTAGGTGCAAGCATGATCAGGTGTAATCCAGTCTGAGCTTTTACATAGTGAAATGTAAAATCTCTTATTGTAAATTAAGAGATTGCCCTCATTTCTCCTTTGTAATAAGATAGGGACTGATTTTTTTTACCCAGAGGAAATGGCCACTGTAGAGGAACCCGCCCCCTCCCTCCCTCAATTCCCGCTCTGTCAAATGCGAGCAGCCAAGTACAGATTCCATGCACTGGGGCATCAGAGAAAGCCCCAACGGTCCCCAGGGTCTAATCTTCTCCCCAGGTCTGCTTCCCAATACGTCAAACCATCAACGATCTTCAAACGTCTAGGACTCCCAACCCCGAGTTCAATCCCGGCCCAGCCGGAAGCGACCTCTTCCGGTTGCTTTGAACTACGGCATCTGTGCAGAGGCCCCGCCAGGCCGCTAGGGTGCGCTGCGGGATCTAAGGCGCATGCGTCTCGAGCCCGGCCTTCGAAAGGCTAAAGGAGACTCCCGGGATGCCCTGCGGTTGCGTGGCGGAAACCGGTTGGTTTCTTGCCCGGTTGGTTTTTGGCGTGGTGGGTTACTAGTGTCTACTGGGGCTCTCGCTTCCTTCAGGCGCCCGTAGCTGGCGCTGCATCCACAAAATACTCCAGGTAAAGCAGCAGATCAAGGGACGGGAAGGTTCGGCCAGTCTCCGCGTCCTCTTTACCGGACTGGAGGCTGAGCGAGTCAAGTCGCGCTTTAAAGAAACTAGTGCCCCTAGGAGGGCCGTTTAAGGACTCGGCAATAGGAGGGTGCAGTTGAGCCGCTCGCTGCTGACAATCCGTACTCAGGCAGCCATGGCAAAGGAGGTGGGCAAAGTCAGCACTCCTGCGTTTCTCGAACTGAACAGGAATCCTCCCCCTTGCTCCCTAGGATTTTGAAGCGCCTTCGAGTTACTATTTCCTACCCGTTGTGACGCCACAGTCCCTCCCATTCTCTTATGGGTTTCTTGTCTGGCCCCGACTCCTCCCTGAGCGGGTGCGGAGCGACATTTGCCCAGCCCAACTGTACACTGATTCACCCTGCAATCTCAGCCTGGTGACTGAGTGATTTGGGCCCCCGCTGCCAGGGTAGGGGACTTATGCTTGGCCGAACAGATCACTTCCCGTAGCAAAATTGGACCCACTGCTAAGGGACTCAGGCAGTTGAGTCTGTGAGTTGCAGGACAAAAGGCTAGGACAACGAGGAAGTCCTCTTGGAGGAAGGAAGGAGACCGTGAATTCTGGAGGGCTCAGGAGAATGGCAGGGGAGAATCCTCTTCTGGGAGTAGGTGGCCTGAAAGCCCAGCTGCCTTCCAGACCTTTGGAGTCTCCTGAACTCATTTCCCCCAGCTTTGCTGCTCCTCTACAATAGCCCTTAAGTCCAGCCCACAGTGTGAGCCAGAAGTCTGGGTTACCATCAGCTCCAGCTCTTGAAGCTGTCCATACCCAGCATTTACCCTTAAGATAAATCTCACACTTCAACTTTGTATTCAAATTTCGATGACCTGACTTCCTCACCTCGTTCTTCCATACTCATCCTGCATTTCATTCATTCCAGACGGCTGATCCTAAACCTCACCCGGCTTGTTCATGACTTTGTGCTTTTGTGGATGCTGTTCACTTTGTCTTGAATGCCGTTCATACCTCCTCTCTCCCCCTTGTTCATCTGGTGAACTCCAGTTCTGAGTCCCCCCCCAAACGCCCACACCCATAGGCTCCCTTCTCTAGACCACAAAAATCTCATATTCAGCTATTCATCATTCATTTGACTAATACTGATGAAGCACCCGATATACAATGTTCTGTATTTGTTTGCCTGTCTCACTCTCTGGGTCAAAGAACGATGCTCAGCAGGTGTCCAGTGAACCATTTCTTAAAGTGGAAAAGCAGACACAGAGGGAAAAGAAAGTCCCAAAAAGTCCTTTGAAGAAAAACACTGGCCCTAGAAAGGAAGCAAAATCTGCCTGAGGTGGCAGATTGAAAGTCTCGCTCCTCCACTCTGACAATGGAAGGATTTGCTCAGTTTGGTACTGATAGATTAGTGCAATTAATTAGCCCCTCCAAAAGGGAAAGAACCACCTCTCCCATAGAATTTATCCCGCACTTGCCAGAGTTTCCATCCCTGGGCTACAGCACTTTTTGATACAAAATGTATCAAAACAATAACAACACCCACAGTAAGTCAGCAGTCAGGCCCTCCGAGTTCAGCACGGCTGAAAGGGGTCATCAGCCCCCATCTTTGGACTTGCGATGAGGCTCCTCTGAACGCTCTGTTCCAAAGAGCTGAAACTAGGGGCCTCCCACTTGTTCTGTGGACAACTCATCCATCCTTCAGAAGACTGTGCAGGAGGGAAGCGTGGGTTAGAGTGTCAGAGGAAGAGCTCTTGGAAGGCCAAATTAGCCCGGGGATATTGTGAGTTGCAAAGAAAGAGGCTGTTGCTAGGCCACCAGTTCTACTCTAGCCCCTCCTCCTCCGGATGCACTGCCGGCTGGAGAGAAGCTGGGGGCCTCTTCAGAGAAGGCATAGGCTCCCCAAACCTTGCCCAGGAGAGGCAGGGCAGGTGCAAGAACTGAGTTCAGATTGCTGCTTCTGCCTTGAGAGAACAAGCATGGGCAAGTCCTAAGGCATATGCTCCCCAGACCAGGCCCAAGAGGGGCAGGGCAGGGGCAGGGACCTTGGGGGCAGGCAGGACTGAGTCCAGATTGCTGCTTCTGTCTTGTGGGAACAAGCGCAGACAAGTCCTTTTGAATGTCTTCATTTGTAATACAGGTAACATTATTTGCATCACAAAGCTATCTTGGAGATTAAAAGATTCTTAAAAAAAGATAAGCTACATATGGAAAGCACTTAGCACAGTGTCTAGCACATAAAGGGCACACAGTAATCGTTAGCTCTTGTTCATTCGGTGCACCTTTACTGAGCACCTAAGTCCCAGTCCTATTCTAGGTACCACTAGTAAGGCAGTGAACAAAAGATATCCGACCTTGAGGAGGGTTAACTTTCTAGCTGGGGATAAATAAGTGTTCACTGTGTTAGATGGTGGGAAGTGATGGAGAGAAAGAGCATGGTGGCGGGTAGAGCACCAGGAAGCCAAAAAGCCTTGTTGCTTAGGAGCTGGGGGTGATGGGGGACTTGGGTAAAAAGCCTAAAGGGTAGAGAAAAAGCTCTGGACACAGCCACTGCCGTGGCCCTGAGGCAGGGGCGCCTGTTGTGTTTAGGAACATCTGACCAGTGAGTCTGCAGTTAGCGGTTCAGCGGGGAGTAGCCAGAGAGGAGGTTGAGAAGTAGAGGGGCCAGATCCTGGAGGGCTGGTGGGTCACGGCAGGGACTTGGCACAGACCCTAGTGAGATGGGGCCCTGCAGAATTTTGAGCAGCAGAGTGACTTGGTCCAACTTTCATTTTAATAGGTTCCCCCCTGGCTGATGTTTCGAGAGTAGAGAGACAGGGTGGACACAGGGAGCCCAGATGAAAAGTGACAGTGATACAAGAATTGTTATTAGTTGGGGATGCTGTGTGCCAAGCAGCCAGCGCAGCACCTGCCCAGCGCACCAGCCTTGTAAACGCCATTTTCATCTTCCGTGTGGAGGGCACCTACCTGCCTCTCATGTCCATTATCTCATTCAGTTCCCTTAACCTTGTGGGGCCACTTTGAGTCTCCCAATGAGGAAACCAGTTGTTAGAGAGGTTAAGCCACTGGCCCAAGGTGTTTGTTCCTTGCCATGGGAGGTGGGGGGAGGCTGTTGATAGCACAGCTTCAGGCAGAGAAGTTAGTAACAAACTGATGCCCGCGCTCCCAGCTCCTTGTGGAAATCGGCTTCCTTTGGTCTGGACTTTCAAGGGCCCACTTCAGGAAGCAAAGTATGGCTCCCATCTCCTTGAGCACCCTTGTAGGCAGTCAGAAGGAACCCAGGGCTCCCATCTAGATAAAGAAGATCTCTCAGCCCCAAGCCTGGCCCAGGGCAGGGGTCAGATGAGGAAACCCCAGTTTACACTTGAGGGGAGCCACCTGGAAAGGAAACTGCCTGGGACAGTCCCCGGAAGGCTGAGGTCAGGGTGAGAACAAAGCCCACTTATCCCAGTCCCGGTATCTAGGGGGGCTCTTACCTGCGGTCCAGGAGCTGCCACAGGTCCTTCTCCGGCCACTGCTGAGAGTGTCTGTGCTTCCTCTGGCGGGCGGTGGCCCTTGTCCCAGCGGGGTTCCTGCTCCTGACAGGGTGGTGCCTGTCCCCTGGTCAGCTGACTCACCCAGGCCTGGGACTGGCCCAGGTGACTCTTCCTGGCTGCGTAAACAAAAAAGTCACCGGGCCCAGAGGAGGGCTTTGGCCTTCGTCTAGATGCTGAGATGGGGTCAGGGGCACACACAGCTGCTACTGTCACAAGGGGTTTGAACCGACACCTTGGCGTTGAGAAATCAGATTTGGATTGGACACCAGTCCTGCTGGACATGAGGACAGTTGGATGGGTATCCAGGGTCTTGAAAAATTGTAACCCAACATTTCCTCTTCTAGGAATTTGTTTAAAAATAAAAATAAAAAACAAGTAGGACCCACCGCCGTGTTGCTTATTACAGAGAAATGTCGAAATCCCAAGTGCCCGTCCCCGGGGTCTGGTCCAGTCAGTCCGTGTCCCTGGGAGATCACACAGCCGTCGAAGCCACGTACGGAGGAAGCCATGAGGAGACGTTCCCGCGATGGAAGGCAGATACCGAAAGGCAGCGATGTCTCCTCGCGCCTCTCGTGACTCGTTCTCAGTATCTGAACAGTGGCCGTGCACTGAGAACAGCCTGGCAGGACGCAGACTAGAACGCCGAAAATCGGGGGGGGGGGGGCGGTTCGCACTTTTGTGTCTGTTGGTTTTGTTTTCAAGTTAGTTTTCGCTTTGAATGCTTATGATTTTTGCAAGGAGGAAGCAAATTAAATTTGCTTTAAGAAGGAATTCAGATTGGTTGTGTCCAGGAAGGGAAACTACGGGGCTGTGTGCCGGGGTAGGAGGGGATTTTTTTTTAAGGATTTTATTTATTTTTAGAGAGAGAGGAAGGGAAAGAGGTAGAGAGGGAGAGAAACAGCAGTGTGTGGTTGCCGCTCACCCACCACACCCCCTACTGGGGACCTGGCCCGCAACCCCGGGCATGTGCTCTGACTGGGAATTGAACCGGCGACCCCTTGGCTCATAGGCTGGGGCTCAATCCACTGAGCTGCACCAGTGAGCAGGATTTTTTTTAATCCTGCACATTTTTTGGTGCCTTTTAAATTTTGAAACATTTGAATGTATTACATAACCCAACAATAATCATATAAAATTAAACAGAAAAGAGGGGTGGATTTCATTCCCAGTAGGGTGAGTTGCACAGAGGAGCCTGTTACACTTGCTGCCTGGGAAGGGACCAGGGACTTGTGGGTGGGGCAGTCCCCTGTGAGTGACACGGGGCACCCATGCAGGGTGGGGCGAGTATCTGGCTGTTCACCAGGCGGCCCACGTCACAGTGCCCAGGACAAGCCTGGGTGGGGCTGCACTAGCCGTGGGTGTCAGGTCGTGACTGGGGCCCCGGCTGGTGCTCGGCCCCAGGGAGGAGGTAACTGTTCCTCTGAGGAGCCTCCAGCCCAGAGTCCCCACAGGAAACGTGACAGGGACAATAACGAGGGCATTTGTTTTTGAGTGCTGTGGATGAAAAAGGGCCACACACTAAACCTGACAAGCTCAGGGGAGGCCTGCGTGGCGGCCTTACAAACTCAGAGACTGAAGCAACCACATGGGAAGGTCTGAACATAAAAACTCCTAAGAGTGGGTCTTGGGGGCAGAGTCTCATCCTCGGCCTGTGGCTCCCTTGCCAAAGTCAATTTTCACCTTCAGTGAGCCCATCTATTGTGCTTTGCGTTTAAGGTAACAATATCTATGGAATGTCAGGGTGTCTTTTCCAGACCCTGACACCCCCACACCACAGCGGAGACCGCAGAACCCTCCGAGTTATCCTGTGCCCCGTGTACCATCGCTGCGCGCTCATTGTTAACTATTAACTAGCCTGCACCCTCCGGTGTGACGGAGTGCGCGTCTCTTTTTATCTGGCCCCAGAGATTTCTTCCATTTGCTTTCTCCCACCGCCAATGACTCTCAAGGAACCACCCTTACTGCTTCTCCTTTGATTCTGATGTACTCAGTGAGCTGCAAACTGCCATCCTCTGGAGCCTTTTCTTATTTCTTTGAGACTTCGCTTCTCAGCAGTTGTCAGTTCGATTCAAATAAACTCACAAAAACTCTCCACTGGTCCGGACGCCCCTGCGGCCCTGCCTGCAGAGCAGAAGGCGCTGGCCCAGGTGCTTTAGGGGCCTCACTCGGGTCCCTTTCTTCCCTGTGAAGCAGGTGGAGAGGCGCAGTCCCTCTCCAAGTCACACAGCTGGGAGGTGGCTCTGAGGTCTTGGGTTCTCTTTGGTGAGGAAAATGCCACCTGCAGCTGAAGTGGGGACACACCCAGGGCTGCGCCTGAGGGTCGTGAAGCATGATGTAAGCCAGGAGTGATGGGCCCGCCTTAGGCCAGGTCTTCAAGGCCAAAGAAAAGTAAGAAATTGATTCCCACTGAACCAAGTGAAAACCCTCCCCCTCCCACACACACCCCTCATGGTCTAAAAGGGCCTTTAAGTAGAGAAGATGGAGGAAAACCAGCCCAGAGGGGCAGAGCACTTGCCTGTGGTCACACAGCACCTCTTAGGACTTAGGACTTAGGACCTGGTCCCCGAAGCCCCACTTACACACAGGGCCTGTCTTTACACTCCACAGTGTTCCAGCCACCCCCATCTCTGACTTATCCCTACTCCAGCCACTGAGAAGTACCTTTCACTGGGCGTGACCTTGCTCAAGGCCTCCAGCAGCCCCCACCGAAGGATCCCGGGGTGGGTTACGTCAGGCCCAAGCTCCCAGACCCGACACTGAGGCCTCCGTGGTCCACCCCAGCCCCGTTCATCAACTTTTCCACCCTGTCCTCCCAACACCTCTGCCCCGGCCAGGCCGGAATCCCCTCCCGTCCCCACTCCAGCCCGCCCCCTCTGCGTGCTACTGCTTCTGGACGGCCTGCCCCGCCCCACTGCACACAGCCAGGTCCACTGGGCTCCCCTGGCCATCGCCGTCACGTGTCCCGCCCCCCCCCCCCCCCGGGAGGGCTGGGTCAGACGTTCCAGTTCCCTCTGTGGCAGTAACCGCCTTGTGCTGCTCATGCGCACCGGGGGCTGCCAGCCAGACCCCAGGTTCCTTGAAGGCAGGGCCCACTTATCCTTCCCCAGCAGTGGCTATTTTCAAAATAAAAATTGGAACATGGGCTTCAACCAGGATATATTTCTGCTTCCTTATACATTTGTATGAACAACCTTCAAAAATAAAACGAGTGTCCAAGACACAGCGTACGCTTAGAAACTTCCTAGCAGCGCCTTTGGCAGACCTGAGTAATCAGCCTCGACACTCCCCGCTGAGCCCAGAAGTGGCTCAGAATCCTCCAACGACAGCGACAGTGAGATCGAGGTCCAGGTCCCAGGCAGCTGCTGCCACCTGCACTTGGCCCAGGAGGCGAACGGTTCCGTGCCCCCTGCTGGGAGCTCCCTGAGGGCGGGGCTTGTCTGTGAGGCTCCATCCCCGGGGCCGGGGCCCTGCCAGGCACAGAGTGGGCTGTCAGGGCCTACTTATTGAATGAGTAAGTGCCCCTCCTGAGAAAGTCCATCACAGTGACAAACAATGGCTCACTCACCGAGGAGATGGGTGGGCAGGCCGACATCATCAAATCTGCGTCCCAGATCTGTGACGCCGCACAAATTACCGTACCTCTCCGAGTGACAGTTTCCACATCCACAAAGGGGAACGCAGGGACCCGCTTTACAGGCTTGTCCTGAGGATCAAATGAATTAGTCACAAGCAGTGCCCAGGACACCGTGGGGACTCAGGCAGTGCCCTCGTTTGGCCTCCCCGTGGAACTGGTCCAGCTGTACGCTACAGAAATGATAGTTACCTGGCTCAGGTGGCAGTGCTCTTACCTGAAAAAGGGGCAACGGTTGGTTGCTGGGGAGAGAGAAGGACCAGCTGCGCCCCTGCCCTCCGCGTGGGGTCTGGGCGGGGCGGCAAACCCCGGTTATGACGTCATCAAACGATGACGACAGGGAGAGGCCTTCTGCTGGGCTCCTCCACGTGGGCGCTGTGCTGGGCCGCGGGGCATAACCCGGTCTCCCACTGCTCCCAGCAGCCCCAGATCCTGACAGCGAGGCAGCTCGTCCAAGGCCACATGCCTGAGCGGAAAGGCCAGGCCTTGACTGTGCACTGAGTGGAGCTGCCGGGGCAGCCAAGTCGCAGATGTCCCTGGTAGTAGCCGAGGACCCTAGAGGGCCAGAGGCCTGGTGAGCTAAAGGGCTACAGCCCCTCACACCTGCACCCCATTTAGTCCCACCCGGCACCTCAGCCCCTTGCCTGGAAGCAGACACCAGCCAGAGACCCTGGCCTGTGGTGCCCTCATAAGATGTGACATCCTGAAGGGGGCACAGCGCAGGCTTAACCCCTGCTGTTAAGCCATGTGACCTTGGACAAGTGACCTCTCTGGGCCTCAGTCTCCTCACCTGTGAGATGGGGAAAACAATATCACTTTGATTCTATTAGCACAAATAAAGTGCTTGCTTAGTGCCTGGCTCAGGGGCGGTGCTAACTACAGGTGAACTATTACATATCCATCCATGTTATGGGACTGCATTATCCGAGGGAGAAAAACGCACCCGTCGTGGTTCTCAGTGTGATAGAAAATCAGATCCAGCGAAAGTACCTGCATCCTTCCTGGCCCGCGAGCTCAGGTTGGATTGCCCCTGAGACGGTCACTCTAAAAGCTTCCAGTGAGGGGAGCTAGCATCGCCCCCACCCCCGGCGGCCCGGCCATCTGCCCCTCAGCCCCTGCACCCGCCCCCTCAGATCCTGCATTTCTCCAAGTGTGGTGGCCCCAGCCACCCACAGCAGAGGCCTCTAGGCAGGGACACACTAAAAAGACAGATCCCAGGGGCCCCCAGCCCACTGGATCTGACTCTCCTCTCCAGGCTGATTCTGAAGCAAACAACAACATATTACTTCACTCCTCCTTGCTGACCCAGTGTCTCCTCACATCCAGTGCTCACAATGTGCTAGGCCTGGGGCCAGGGACTTCCCGTCCCTCACGTCCTTCAAACCTGTGGGGTGTGTGACAGATAGGGAAACTGAGGCTCGGAGGTATGCGGTGGGCCCCAGATCACACGTGTAAGTTGCAGAACTGGCCCCTTGCAAAGGTCTACTCTCCCATTTATGCGGCTTCTGCCACTCGGGCCCTGGACCTGGGTCTTATTTTGTAATTGCCTGGGGAAAGCCGGCCAGAGATGCCTACGCAGCATCTACACACACGGGAAGGGGAAGGTCAGC